TTAATTGGATTAAATTCTAAAATATCACCAAATTCATGTGATAAACCCGAATTATTAAAACCGGTTCCAACCTCTAGCTAACTGCTTCTAGGTATCTATAAAATAACCAAAGAATGTTGGGCCTAAATATTAAGCTCAACATTTTATAATTTATTTATATTATAATCTTAATAAAGGATTATTACAAGGTTACCAAAGATTAAAAAAAATAAAAAAAATAAAAATAAAAAACATATATAATTTAGCTTAATTATTTTAATACAATTATAAATAAATACTAATTTTAGTAATAATTTTAGTTATAATTTTAGTTATAATTTTTCAAATTCATATAATTGTTTCAAAGCCACTTTTTGTTATAGGTTCTTTTATATTACAGTATATACAGTATTTTGTTAATAATTTTAAGATAGTTATAATTAATATGCACTATGTTTGTAATCACATAATAATAATATGCTTTTTGGTTCAAGAACATGCTTTTAAACATGTTTTGAAACACTATGCCCCAACCCTGCTTGATTAGAGCTAATTCTAATAAATAATTTATAAGTTTTCGTACCGGTATGTAAATGATCTTTGATAATTGTGCTTAGTTCGTCTGATTTTTTAGAATTATATTCAATAAATTATAAATTTAAAAGCCCGAAATGAGTTTTTTTTTTGGTGACACATATTATAATACATAATTAGAAAATTATAGTAATATAATAAATACCATTCTGTACAGAACTAGCTACAATACATAATCTCTACGTAGAAGAAAAATTCGAATCGAAACCATCTAAATGTGCTCGACTGGCATTATGCAAAAAACAATAAGAAGTTTTGAATAGAGCAGGCATTTCGACTAGCATTAGTTCTAGTGTTGGCCAAGACATTATACACTCGGACGCACGAGAATCCCATTATAGACCATTATGCAAAAACACGTGAATGAATAAGACTAAATACGGAAGTTGAGACATTTATTTTTATGCATAAATTCACGTGCTTATGTGCAAAGTTTTCAACTCTATATAGTAAATTTCGTAAGTTAAATTTTAAAAAACGTGTTTTGTAATGATATTATATTATATCATTATATAACCTTTGTTCTTTTAAAACCTTTCATGAAAACTTACCACGTTCAATTCCATTTTAATGACAATGCCAAAGGAACAAGGCTCTACCGGAGTAAGATCTCGCGCTACTAAATCTAGCAATAGCACTCCAAAAGACGTGCCAGAAGCACGACCAATAAGAACTAGTAATTCTTCGAAATCTACAAAGGTCAATGCCAGGTATGCTTAGAGGAGTTCAAATGGGGTGAAAACGCGTATTTAGATCATGGCATAGTGTTTTGAACCACCATGTAGTTAAGTGATCTTGCACAGCCTGTTTAGAAAACTGTAAATTAAAGCTTATATTTGTGCGTCAAAAATATATAAATGCCTTAATAACTTCTATATACCTTTCAGCTTGACTCGTTCAGGGACACCTTATTATTGTCCACCTGGTCGAATAGCTTTTATTGCCTTCTTGATTGTACGTTTAACTGCCGTTTTTTTCTCCAACATAGCTGATTGTGATGAAGTAAGCTTATTGAATGCGAAATAAATATGGGAGCCTGCTAGAAAAATCACCCTTCGGCGTTTTCCGATCGGGTTAATTCGGACAAACTTAGACCAACATATTAGATCAATAAAAGTATAAAAGATGATTAATATGCAAGTAAGAACTGGTAATGTTGGTCTAAGTTTATCCGAATTTAACCCAATCGGAAAATGTTGAAGGGTGATATTTATAGCAAAAATCCCATATTGGATTTAATAAATTTCTTTACAAGTATCTATTATTATAGGTATTTAATTATTGGGAACCAACGCACTATCTACAATATGGATACGGAATGCAAACATGGGAGTATTCTCCTGAATATGCTATAAGAAGCTGGGCCTATATTAAATTACACGCGATTATTGGTGGAATATTCGGTTTCGTTTTCAATCACGATAAGGTACTGTTGATATTAACACACTGTTGTTTATATTAGCTTATATTCATTTTGATTGACTGATTCTAATCTAAGCAGATCAAAATTTTTTATGCCATACGTGCGACCTTCGCAATAGTGTGCGCATTATCCGAATCGACGTTTTATATCGCTGCGTTAACTCATTTGGGGCCACGAGTTGGACGTTATTTGATAATCACAATGCTTCTTAGCGCAGGAATGTGGAATGCATCCACTGGTAGATTAAATGTAAAATTAAGATGATTAATTATATAGTTTTGTTGATTCACTTAAAAGTTTATACATTTCATATTATCAGCATATCTTCCGTCCACATTCGCAATGTACACAACTATGGTAGCTTTCTTTTATGCACTTATGCCAGTTTCAACGACTTCTGGGCGCCGAGTTCATGGAACTATCTTTTGGGTTGGCCTTGGATCACTTTTAGGATGGCCTTTTAGTGCTGCCGTGGGGATTCCTGCTGCATTCGAAGAGTTAGTACTTCGAAACGCACTAAAGAAGCCATTTGAGAGAATTCGACGCTTGATTTCCGGAGTTATTACTTCCTTATGTATAATACTGGTATTAATTAATATAGATTTTTCAAATACGAGATAATTGTTAGCATTTTATTTTGTCAAACCTAACCTAAATTTCTGGTAAAAAGATTCCACTCGCGTTAGCAGATTACTATTTTTATAAAAAATTTAACATAGTTCCGTGGAACATTATTGCATACAATGTTTTCGGTGGAAAAGATCATGGCCCCGATATTTATGGTACTGAACCTTGGCACTATTACATTGTGAATGGCCTCTTGAATTTTAACATCACGTTCATAATGGCTCTCATTAGTTTACCTGGTTTAGTATGTATTTGTAATGTTTTTCTAAACCTTTAATTAATGAGGATCTGACTGAATACATATTATAGTTTGTAACTATTTTAGTCGACAATCGACGTATTTCCTCTTCACCGACAGCTGGTTCTGTTTATGCCTATTTTTTTCTTTCTTTCAGACTCGTGCCTTTTTACGTGTGGCTTTTCACTTTTATCGCGCAACCTCATAAGGAAGAAAGATTTTTATTTGTAATCTATCCATTAGTGTGTCTAAACGCTGCCGTTGCAATATTTTTAGTCAGAGGATGGATTGATCGATTCCTTTCAGCTCTGTCAGAAAATATTCCATATGCTGTAAGTAAATTTGCTTATTATATTTGGCTAGTTTGTGTATTCATCTAATTGTCTCAATTATATCAAAAAACAGTTTAATCGGCGATGTTACTTAAAATGTTTTACATTTAGCATCTTTTTTATTTCGGGTCTAATTTCTATTTCACGCGTTTTTGCACTTTATTATCACTATAATGCACCAATGGCGATTTATAAACATTTCTATTATGTTGAAATTCCTCAACAAGTCGAAACTCAGAAACTTCAGTTGAATCTCAACAATCCAATAAATCTTTGTATCGGGAAGGAATGGTATCGCTTTCCGAGTCACTATTTTTTGCCAGATGGTGTTAGGCTGAGATTTTTGAAATCAGATTTCAATGGGCAATTACCGAAATACTTTTTGGAGGATACGCAAATTGACTCTGAGAGTCGAACAAAGATGAACTACAAACGTGATGGTACTTGGATGTTGCAAGAAGGATTCAATGATATTAATAAGGAAGAAATGGATCGTTATGTAAGTGAGAGATCTTTAAATATATGTAATTATTTTCTCCATCTTATTGTTTATGTGATTGAAATTCTCGCATTCATTTATTTCTTCATAGGTTGACGTTGATCAATGTGATTATATTGTTGATCTAGAAACGAATTACACACAGGCTTCTGCAAATGAACCACGATACGTAACTCAGACTGATAAGTGGGATGAAGTCATTTGTAAATCATTTTTAGATGCCGCAAACTCTGATAGATTTTCGCGAGCATTTTATTTTCCACCCAAATTTTGGCAAGGAATGAAGATGGTGATTGGTTATTTACCTATTCAAACGATAAATAGTAATTCTGCTGTGAAAAAATTGGGATCTTTGAAGTGGGGTGACTATTGTTTGTTAAGAAGGAAGTTCTATAGAAACTCATTAGCGTAGTCATTTTATCTAATTGAAATGTCTTGTGGCAAAGAACTTTGATTTATATACAATGTTTCAATAATCTATCTTTTAGATTCATGATTTGTGGATAAATAACCTTTTTTTGCATACGCATGTATATATATCGATGTAATTTGTAAATAATTATTAGCGTTAGAAATAAAACTCAATTTCGTTATATAGGCTTTTGGTTATGTCTATTATAATAATATTATTTATTTACCATGATCCATAAGATCATTTTTCTAGGGATCAATTGGTTATCGGAATTCAAAAATATATAAATAGAAATTTAAATTTAAATTACGGTTTACTCAAAATCATGAGTACAACAGAGGAACTTCAAACTCTAGTTCTCACATCTCTCGATGTAAGAGGTACAATTCCTAACACAAAAGATCTTGTAACCTCTGAGAACAAGGAGGTAGATCAATTAGCATTACTCGGTGCCTTGAAGAGTTTGAGTATTGTAGACAAAGAGGTTCGTTTTTTTTTCGTTAAAACCAGTTTTTTTCTTATGGAATGTAAGTTTTGATGTTTTTTGTAGATGGTCAAATATGAAACTATTGAAGAAGAAGTATGGATGCTAACAGATGAAGGGAATGAAATTGCTAATAAAGGAAGCCACGAAGCCAAGGTTTTCGATGCTATTCCGATTGGTAAAGAGGGAATAGCAATCTCTGCATTACATGTATGTATACTCGCTGCATATAATTTCATTCTAACCTACTTTAAAGCATTTTCTAAAACTATATTTAGGAAATTTTGGGCGAAACTGCAAAAATTGGGCAAGGCAAGGCTTTCAAAAATAAATGGATTACCAAGAATGGTGGCAATCTAGTCCGCGCTGTATGTCTATAAACCTGGTTTAATGTGGCATATATTATTTGATGATATAATGTAACTTTCTAAGATTTCATTTTACATTAAAGATTGATTCCATTATAGATCAAACGCGAATTGATCTCGAAGTGATTCGTTCAACTGGAACACATTCAGATCCAAAAGTGCTGACTGAATTGAGAAAAAGGAAACTTTGTGATAAACAGTATATAATCATGTTGCTTTTTAAATTTTCTTTTTGACATATTATCCCATTCTTTATTGAATTAATACATTTCTGATTAATTTAGTAAAGTTATTTCTTATTCCGTATTGAAAGGACCAAAATTCTCATTGACTATAGAGAAACAAGCCCGAGACGTAACATTTGAAATGCTTCAAAGGTATAATGTGTATAATGTATACTTAGGTTTTTATTTAGTTTATCGTTCGAACGATCTCATTCGATATTGACTATATTCGCATAGTGGTGAATGGAAAAAAGCAAATTTCAAAAAATATAACTTTGATGCTCTTGGTATACCACCTTCAAGTGGTCATTTACATCCACTAATGAAGGTTCGCGAGGAATTTCGGCAAATTTTCTTTGAAATGGGGTATTTTATTATTTATTATTATGATTTTGCAAAGTGTAATTAATAATAAAAATAAACTTTATTGTAACTATCTATAGTTTTGAAGAAATGCCAACAAATAAATTTGTTGAGTCATCCTTCTGGAATTTTGACTCTCTCTTTCAGCCTCAACAACATCCTGCCCGTGATGCTCACGATACTTTCTTTTTAAAGGGTATTATATTAACGATTTTTAATGATTATTCATTGTTCACCAATAATAATAATGGATTTATTTATTTGTAGATCCTGCAATTTGCACACAATTCCCCACTGAATATCTTGAACGCGTTAAGGAGGTTCATTCTGTTGGTGGATATGGATCCACTGGGTATGGTTACGACTGGAAAATTGAAGAAGCACAAAAATTGATTTTAAGAACACACACCACCGCAGTATCATCGCTCATGTTATACAATCTTGCAAAACAGAAAGAATTCAAACCGGTGAAATATTTCTCCATAGATCGTGTATTCAGGAATGAAACTGTGGATGCTACTCATTTGGCCGAATTCCACCAAGTGGAAGGTGTTATTGCCGATAAAGGATTAACACTGGGGGACTTAATTGGATTTATGAACACTTTTTTTAATAAAATGGGTTAGTAATATTTATCATCAATGTTACCAAATTTACGATTTAACGTACATTTATATAGGGGTAAAGAACCTTCGTTTTAAACCTGCATATAACCCATACACTGAACCGAGTATGGAGATCTTTTCGTATCACCAAGGCAAGAATTTTTACTTTTATGGGATGAGTCCTGTTAATTGGTACCTTTCTAAAATTTATCATTATTGTATAATAAAGGTCTTGGTAAATGGGTGGAAATAGGAAATTCTGGTATGTTCCGTCCGGAAATGTTGGAACCAATGGGATTGGATCCGGACGTTCGGGTTATTGCTTGGGGTTTAAGGTATATGCATATTATTGTATTACGCAAATATTGTCGTATTCAATCTAATATAAATCTTTTTTTTCAGCTTAGAAAGACCCACAATGATAAAATACGGAATCAATAATATTCGTGAGGTAAAGTATTAGCATATTGATATTTATTAATATTTGGACTTTAAATTTAAAAAAAAAAAAATTTTAGTTACTTGGACACAAAGTTAACTTGACCATGATTCAAAACAATCCAATATGCTTATTTTGAATTAGAGATGGTAAAGTTTCTAGTTTCTTTTTTTCCTCCTTGCCTTTTTCTTTCTTCATGTTGTTTTGCTAATATGCTGTCTACTGACTTCTTGAATTGCTAAACAAGCTTTTTTAGTGCCTTTTTATTGTTTAGGTTTGGTTTAGGTTCAAAAACCTTTAGATTCCAAGTTTTCAATATTTTGTATAACACAAATAAAAAATCTATTTAGATATAAAATGTTACGTTGCCCGTAGCTCATCCACAAAAATTGTCCGGAACATGATTTTTAGCCAATTAGATTGAAGGATCAAGTGTAACATGAAAATCATGCATTTTTGTTTCAAAAAATTATAAAATTGTTTGTTTTAGTGTTACAGTTGACAATCAATTGATTAGTTGCAAAGAATCAATTGAAAAATTATTTATTTAATGAATTAGTTGCAAAATTTTGTATATTTTGCAAATTAAAAAAATAATTGATTATAATTAATATTTAAAATAATTTATTAATCATCCAAGTGAATTATTTATTCTTTTTAAGCACAATAGGAAACTCTGGTCATAATAATATATTAGGATTAAATTTAGAGTTAGGGTTGGGATTAGCTTAAAATAAAATTGTGAAAAGAAAATTTTTGTTTATATTATATAACAGAGATTAGTAAAATTTTAAAAAATTAGCATTTTTTAAATTTTGTTATAAAGAATAAATAATTTATTTAGGTAAAAAATAAATGTACTCTTAATAATTAGTAATTTTCAATTTTTTTTTTTTTTTTTTTTTATTATTATCACAATGTCACGGAAAGGTGAATTTTTATTAGGTATTTAGTATTACATTCTTGGTTAACGAGAGTATATTTAGCCACATGTGCAACTTTTGGTTGTCTATTTTAAGGGTAGAGTGTACAAATTTCCAATTTCATATAAAATAGATTGTAGATCAACTTTGTGTAATGAATTTTATATG